TCCAAGAAAAGACCAAATTAGAACTAACCGCTACCCAAGAAAAACAACGAGCCAATTACTACGAACAACAATTAAAAACCATCGCTAAAACCCTTTACCAATTACAGAAAATCAGTTATTATCAGCAATTAGAGGAGGAACAAAAGGAAATTAAAGCCCAAATTATCCAAACCCCCACCTTTTAAAATAAAAAAATAGAAACCAATAAAGGTAAAATTAGATATTATGGTAGCGAAAAGAAAAAACAAGGACAAAAACTGAGCAAAATTAGTAAGTAGTTTAAAAAAAAGAGTTGAAAAACTAAACAAAGACCGAAAAGCGGGAAAAACCGAAACCTTGAGTGCAGTAGAAGTCGTTTGTAGTCATGAAGACATAGAAAAAACTCGGAGAGGTTGAGCCAAGACCAAGCAGAAGTAAACATGCGAAGTTCTTTTCACCTTTTTCTAGAACACTTAATCAACTCAACCTATCAACACCAAAGAATAAGACTTTCCCAATCTGGTTTTTATGGTAAAGTTCATTCTTTCGCTAGTTCTTATGTTGGTTTCGGTGGCTGAGACATAAATTATAATGGAAAAGGCTGAACTAGACTATTTGTTGAAAAAGTTGGTAATATTGAGTTTGTCAGCAAAACCATTTACCTAAATGTCAATTATACTTACTGCTTGGCGGGGTTAAAGACTTATCCTGCCCTTAATTTCTCTGATTTGGTTAACACCATCGCCCATGAGCTAGCCCATTGTCTATTAGGAGATTTTGACTTAAAATGGGCTAAACTACATGATGAAGACCATGAAAAACTAACCCAAGAGATTGAGGAATATTTATGAACCCGACCAGAAGTAAAAGAATTAGAAAGATTACAGAATAATTTAAGGAAAAATAAATAAAAAAATCCCTTAATGCCAACTAAACCCACCCCCGAGGAGATAACTCGCAAAAAAGAATATGTTCGCTTCTTAAATACTCAAATCTACAAACTAACTAACCAACGCAAATTCCTCCATAAACAATTAGACCGCTTGGAAAAGCAATTAAAAGATTATGAAAAGGAAAAAGAGAAAACGGAAAAATGACTAAAAGAAAACTAATTTTCAATCAGAAAACAAATAACGCCTATTGCGTATTAATTTATTCTCCAATAACCTCTTTTTTTATATTCCGCCCATAGATGGCGTTTCCGTAGGGGCATTTCTGCTAACCTTTTTTGTAAACAATTCCCACATAACGCCTTTTTCTCTCCTAAACCTCAAAACCGAGCATCATGGCGATTTTTAATTATTCCATGCCTTAATGCTTCCCGAATAAACTCAAAACATTCAAAACACCAAGCATGGTAAACCACACTACCCAACATCTCAAACCAAAAGGGCAAAGCCGGTATTTTATCACCCCTTCTCTGGAAAATTTCCTCATTCTCCATTATTTTTTTGGCTAATTCTCTTAATTGCTTTTGGGCTTCTTTGGCTTGTGGTGAAAGTCTAATCGGATTTTTATAACTGGGAAATAAATAATCTCTGATTATTTTATTCTTAAAAGGATAGGTTTTTTTGGCTCTCATATGCTATATTTACGCAATAGGCGAAATAATTTTAATAATTCCTCTTTGCTAATTTACTCTTTTTCACACTTCGGACAAAAAACCAGTTCTCCCTCACTACCTTTCTCGCCCTGATAAGTTAAACATTCTACGCAAAAATTTTTACCACATCCATCACAATTATCGGTTTCACTTTCGGGGACTAATTTTAAACACTGCGGACATTTTACTTTTTCTATTTCTTCTACTAATGATTTTAGTTTGTTTTTATGAATAGTTTTCAGTTCGGTATCATCCTCCACTAACTCAATATATTCGTTAAAAAACTTTTTGGGATTAGAAATTAAACGGAGATAGTATTTTAAAGTAGGCAAAATACCATTGACAATCAATTGACAACCATGCTTTTCTTTAATTTTCAAAATCAACTCATTAACCTCTGGCTGGTCCTTTTCCAAAACCCTCATATCAGAAAGTATGTAATACCTTTCGGAATTAAACTTGATAATCTTTTCATAGGCAATTCGAGCCATATTTATATCAATTGGTCTATCTAACTTAATCTCCACTGCCTCAAACACTCGGTCGTTTTTTATTACTTGAATATCACCAGCACTTTTGGAAGTCCGGTCGGAAGCGGTATGGCTTCCCAAGGGTTCAAGTTTACAACTTTTATACCTATCAACTTCTAAAATCAATGATTTATAAATAGCATAAAAAGCCAAGACTGGCAACTTTGAACCACCCCAAGTATCGTATTTTTCGGTAAAATGTTTTTTTAATAACTCAATAATAGCCGTAATTGATATTTCATCAGCATTATCTAATTTTCTAATTTCAATAAGATTATTTTCTTTAAATAGGATAGCCTTATTGAGAATTATCCTTAACATGTTTTCAGTAATGGATTGGTCGTTCTGAAAAGCATCTATCACCTTTAAAAAGGCTTCTTTCATCCCCTTTCCTGAAATTTTTCCTTTATAGTTCAAATCGTAAGGATAAGGTTGTTCTAAACTTCTAGTCAATCAACCACTTTCAGCCATAGCGGGTAATCCCAACTCCCTTAAAGTGGGAGTAATGTGTTTAGTATCAATAGTTCTACCAGAAAAACCATTTTTGAATTCAATCTTATGAAGTCGTATGTCTTGCTCTGGTTCTAATAGTTTATGAACCATTAAAGTTATCAACACTGTATAAACTCCTTTATTTTTATCAATATTATCCGTGATAATTTTTAAAAAGTTCATCATTTCATCTGAAATATTGCTAATATCCGCTACATTAGATGATTTCTGATAAACTTCTAATAATTTTTCTTTATGGTTTATAATGTTTATACTCATACGCTTAAAATAATTGGTCTAATATCTGTTCCCCAACTCCTTTTATCATTGGCACAGCCACCGCATTTCCAATTTGGTTATAGCAAGCCCCAACACTACTTACTTTTTGGTAATTGCTGGGAAAACCTTGTAAAGCAAAACATTCATTAAGGGTCAGTTTTCGGACTTTTTTTCCATCGTAAATCCAATACCTCCCTGAGCTCTCTTGGGATGGGATGGTTGGGTGGGTTCCATCAACAAAATATATTCGGTTTGGTTGTTTATGAACCCGTGATAAATGTTCCGTGTTAGGGCGAACGCCATTTGTTCGTATTAATTTATTCCGATAGCCACAGAAAATTAAACCTGAATCTTGTTTTTTTCATTTATCTTTTGGTAGTATGGTATATTCATCCGGTTTTAAGAACTCAAAATCATTTTCTTTTTCCAAAATGTCTTTGATGGTTTTGGCTTTTGTTTTGGGGAGTTTAGAAAAATCAAATTTTTTATTCTTATTGCCAATGATAATCAATCGTTCTCTACTTTGGGCTAAACCAAAATCTTTGGCATTAAGGATATGTCATTCAGTTTTATAACCAATTTCTTCAAATTTTTTAATAATTGTTTGAAGGGTTTTTTTATCGTTATGGTCTTTTAAATGTTTGACATTTTCTAAAAAAACGACTTTGGGCTTTTTAACTTTTATTATTTCTAATATAGTGAAAATGAGAGAACCCCGAATATCTTTAAATCCTTTCTTTTTACCCGAAATACTAAATGGCTGACACGGAAATCCCGCACATAAAATATCGTGGTTGGGGATTGACTGAGGGTCAATTTTGGTAATGTCTCCTTGGGGCTGTTCGCCAAAATTTACGGCATATGTTTTTATACAATCCTCATCAATTTCAGAGGAAAATAAACATTTGCCATTAAGTTTTTCCAGTGCTAAACGAAAACCACCAATTCCCGCAAATAAATCTATGAATGTAAACCTCCTATTTTTTAGTTCATTCATAATATTTATTTATTTTTCCTATCTTTCTCATAACCCTCCAAACTTTTTTCTAAGACTTCCACCATCATACACTTTTCCTCCACCGCCATATTTTTCAATTTCCAATAAAATTCCTCTCTAACTTTAAAGTTTAATTGTTTAGTCCTTCCACTAATTCTTTTATCACTGGGAGCGGTTTCTGAGGCTTTTATGTTTTCGCTAATTTCTTGCGGTATTTCTCCAAATATTTTTCTTTTACTCATATTATAATTTTATATCTACCTCTATATTTATACCAGTATTTTTATATCTCTATCCTTTTTAAAATAAAACTTACTAACTTTTGAACTTGTTTTCTTAAACTAGTATAATTTACCTCACTAATACTTTTACCTTCACTTTGGGCTTGGCGATAAGAGGCTTTTTCTAGTAAATAATAAGGAGCAAAATTATAAGTGCTTTCGGTTAAATATTCTTGGGTAGCCAATACTTCGGCGGGGGTGGATAGGTGATTGAGGACAAATAATAACTTTTTTTTGTTTATTCCCTGGGCTTTTAAAGCATTGAATTCTCGCAAGGCAGGTAATAAATCATCGCGGCTAGTTCCGACCGGTTGAATTAGTAAATCAGCCTTTTTGGCGATTTCTAAGGTTCCTTGGCTAGTGCGAGCGGGAGCATCAATTATTATTAAGTCGTATTTATTACTTAAAGGTCAAATTTCTTTTACTTGTTGGAATACTTGACTAGTAATTAACGGAATTATTTTATTTTCTTTTCGTCATTGGGTTCATTCTCAACTAGTTTTTTGTTGGTGGTCGCAATCGGCTAATAAAACTTTTATTTTCTTTTTGGTGGCTTCTACCGATAGGAGGCGGGCGAGGGTAGATTTTCCTACTCCTCCTTTTTGGGAAATAAAGGCGATTATTGTCATAATTATTGCTTTGCTCAAACTATGTTTCGTTCTTGTATTTTATCTTTTGCTTGAATAAGCTTTTGCAATTTGCTTTCTAGTCTTTTTATCTTGTCGATTTTATTTACTTCGTGAAGTTCGATCAGTTCCAATTCATTTCTAGTTTTGATAATTTTTTCATCTAACATTCTTGTTAATGCTATTAACACACCTTCTCAGTCAGAGGACTCTGGTTTGGTTGCTACTAACAATGCTTTGCAAAAACCAGTTAATTGTCAAGCGAAAAGGTCATAGTCAAAAGGTTTCAATTGTTCTTTAATTTGAGAACACTTATTATTAACATCATGAGGAGAACATTCGATATAAAGATAACCTCCTTCTTCATACTCAGCGGCTCTCTTGGCTGTTGATTTAGCTAAACTCATCGGTAAGTGTTCTAGACCACTATCGACATCAGTGGCCTCAATACAAATTCTTTCTAATTTAGTTAAGTTTTGGTAAGATTTTAGCGAACCATAGAATTTATTATGTTTGCCATTTTGAAAAGCACCTTTTTCAGTTCCTATTTTCAAACAAGTCAAATTAGAAAATTTGCTAAATATTTCAATATCAGTTGGTTGAATGTTATTATTATAAATGTTTAATATTTTCATTAACTTTGGATTAGGCAAATTTTCTAAAAAATCTATTGAAGTTAAATTGTTGTTAATACAGATTAAAAGCCCCAACCATCTAGCAGAAGCACTAAGTTTTAATTTAGTTAGCGGAGTTTTTAAATAGCTTCCATCAATTCTTACTTCTGCTAAATTGACAAACTCGCTTAAATCTAACTCCCCTCCTTCTATTTCTCTTTGTTTTTCTTCTTTTAAATAAGCAGTAAATCATCCGTCAATTCTATTTTCTGCAATTTTTTCTATTTTTTTAGGACTTATTTCGGTGAAGTATATGGTGCCAACTCTTTCTTTCTCTTGCTTTGTTGGATATGTCTGATTTAAATATTCTTGTAGGTTCGGCATATTAGTTGATTTCAGTTTTAATTATTAGTAATTCTGTCATATATATATTTTACTTTTTTGTATATCTCTATAAATATACCTCTATATATCTACCTGTATTAATTACTCTATTTTTCTCTATCGCCCAAGCAGTTTTCATATCAACTACTTCCCCGATACCCCAATTAATCCTGGGGGCTTAATTTTCCCTTTTGTAAATTAACGCAAATTTCTTTATTTTTTGTTCCAATCTTTACTTTTCCTTCTACTTCGGCTATTTAGTGCTATTTTTTTACTTCTTAAATTGTTGATCGCCTTTTTTATAGTGTTTCACTAATTATTAATCTCTTTTTTTGCTGTTTCTCTTGCCTTATCTGATGGTTTTTTATTGTTTTTACAGGAGGCTTACTCTATCGTTATTATTTATATTTGGTTTTATTTTTATTAATTTATTTTGACTTAAACCCTGCTCTTTTAAGCAAGTTAAAAGTGAAAAAAGGAACTTTTTCAATTTCCCAGTGGACAATTTGGGAAATAGCACCCTACGGGGTTTTTACTTATTTTCTTATTTTTCAACATGAAAAATAATTTTCTAAATAATAACGGAGTAAACCTCCTTCATACGAAAAACAAAAAAACCAAAGTTGAAGTCCAAATTGAGATGTTGAAACAGCAAGAACAAGCGATTATTAGTGAATTGAGTAGTTGAGAAACTAAACAAAAAAAAGCCGAGAGATTGGTGAATTATTTAGATGAAGTAAATAGATTTAGCACTAAATTTTTAGCCGAAGCAGTTGATAAAGAAAAAAGCAAAGATGAATTAGATATTTACTGATTAGAATACTTAATCAAAGATAAAGTAGAATTTGCCTTAAAATTTGAAAGTGCTTCCAAGTCTTTTTATCAACTTGCTTTCCAAAAAATAGAAAGCCAAGTTAGTTATCTAAAAAGTCAACTTCGCACTATTCAAAGCCAACTTTCTCACCAAGAACGGATATTCGCTCGGATAGAAATTCGTCGCCAAGGTCGCGAACTTTTAACTTGCGAATATAAAAACCGCCTTGGTTGTTTAGGTGTTTATCAGTGCGATAATTGCCAAATTAACTACTCCGTAGTAGCTGACCATAACCAAAGCACAGAAATTATCAAATAATCATGGCCAGTATCGAATTAAAATTCTCTGGCACTTTTACCAAAACTGATTATTTAAAAGATTTTTGACCTACGGCAAAATATTAGATTTATTGTTCTGTTTTTTTAAGAACTGCGGAAAGCAACTTTCGCATTTCCTGTCGCAGTTCCGAAAATTCCTCTCTCAGACTCTGATATTCCCCGCGATATTTTTTATTAATTTTTTGGGATTTTCTTAATTTATTAGTTAGAAAAGCTACCCCCAACAAACTAAATAATAGGGCGAGTCCATAAATTATTCTTTCGTTTTTTTGTCAATTAATTAAACTAGTTTTTGCTTGGTTAACGGTTTGGAGTTGGTGGTC